TGTGCCATATTATGTGGCCATCATATTTCGTTTCTCCTATCTGTCGTTGCTTTCCACTACCATTTCACTGGATTGCTGAATCCGCTTTAAAATCTTGATGAGATCATGGGAATTTTCAAGTAATTCACCATTGAAGTATTACTTCTTATGCAACTTATTATGAAACGTCCTGTAGACTGCAGATGAAAGGTTGCAAACTATTATTATCTCGAAAATTATAGCAGCCATCAGCCTAATATTTTATTTAAATTAGGAAATACGAAATGCTTAATTGTGTGGTACATAAAATGACTATCATGGGGTCAGAATAAGTCGACGTCGTCTTTTTTAAATGGTATGTTATACTAATTTTTTGTTATTTAAATGGCTTTTATCAAATTGAAGAATATTTATTCGAACTACTTTTTGGTATCCTTTATAAATAACGACTTATGACGAAGGGAATATTTAAGGAGCGAATACGCGGAGGCATCCAAGGAACACTGAAACAGACGTATTTTAATTTAAAATTGATTTTATTAAATATTGAAAATGACAACCATCTACTTGTTAACGTGTATTTGTTCTTATTTCAATATTAAATATTATTATTATTATTATTGTGAATTATAATATTGTGTATCACGGGCAACATCGTTGCAGGTATTGAGTTTCCAGAATTTTGCATTCGATTATTTTGGTGGGGGTATTTGAAGCATAAAATAATGGAAACTCAAATTACCACTAAAAAAGATACGAAAACTCGAATACAAAATGCTTGCGAGTCGATAAATGTACAATACTGAGTGTTATACGTTGTAACATTATGAAAAGTTAAAATGAATTTTGAGACAAAATACTTCTGTTTTAATTCTCCTTCGAAGCCTTCGTGTATTCGTTCCTTCAATATTTCTTTTACCATAAATCGTTAATTAGGAATATTAAAAAATGGTTCGAGTAAATCTAGTTTGATAAAAGCTATTTAAATAAAAAGAAATTAATATAGCATTCCATTTAGAAAATACGAAGTCGGTTTATTTTGACTTAATGGAAGCTACTATCCCATGGTAGCCACTTTAGATAAATTTTGTATACACCGCACAATTAGACACTTCGTATTATTTAATTAAAAAAAAAATTAGGTCGCTTATTAATATAGTTTCCGAGGTAATAGTTTGTAACACTTTATCTGACTCACCCTGTATATCGAAGCAACTTTGTACCGTAAGAGTAGATCGTGTTTTATTTATGACAGTTCACAGCAACTTTTTATTCGATCCGTCATCGAAGAATACCACATTCCGTTCCAGGACGTCCTTCAAACTGTTCTCTAAATTGAGTCCACGATTTCTTTGTCGCCTTACCCTTTGAAACGAGTTTCTTTAACAATAGTCCCGAAGCCACTTGAACTTCGTAAAAGCGATTTATTCCGCTCGAAGCCGCCCGTTAAAACCAGCTTGCCCCCGTGAAACGAGTCGAAGACTTTGTAAATGGGTCTGTATTTAACGGGACGAATTTTGAATTTGCTTTTCATTGTATTCTGCCTACCACTTTTATACTTATTCACCGTTATCGATAGTAAAAGTGGGGCAAAGTTGTACGGGTCAGCGACTCGTAAGTAATCTTTTCGTGGAAATTATAAGCTTGCTTGGAGTTCTTTTTATTGATATTCTTGTCAGATTTCCCTTTCGATTTCTTCTTGGAAATACTCGGGGTCGAGAACTTCTTTTTTATTGCTTCTTTACATCTTCGAATTAGACTACAACGTTCAATAATAACGATAAATTCTATAGGTAGATTACCAGGAATTCCGGTAGACCTAGTCACTCAATTTCAGTAGTTCAAGTAAACGATAAAGCAACCGACTTACGATTAATATGAGAATGCCACGCAGTCAAACTGCGTCAATTAGGGAGGGAAGAAAACCCTATGTTTTCTTTTAACCGACTTCGAAAAGGAGGAGGTTACTCAATTCGATCAATATATTTTATTGTCTTAATTCTTCTTGGAAATACTTGGGGGTCGAGAACTGCTTTCTCATTGCTTCTTTACATCTTCAAATTAGACTATAACGTTCAATAATAACGATAAATTCTATAGATAGATTACCAAGAATTCCGGTAGACCTAGTCACTCAGTTTCAGTAGTTCAAGTAAATGATAAAGCAACCGACTTACGATTAATATGAGAAAATGCCTCGCAGTCAAACATCTTTTTCCTATGTTTTTTTTTAACCAATTTTGAAAAGGAGGAGTTAGTTTACTCAAATTCGATCAGTATATTTTGTTGTCTTAATTCTTCTTGGAAATACTCGGGGCCGAGAGAATTTGCTTTCTCATTACTTCTTTACATCTTTAAATTATATTTCAACATTCAATAATAACGATCAATTTTATATGTAGGGGAGGGGAGAAAAAGACATTTCGCGTCTCGGGATCGTGTGTCAGATTCGTCCAGTGGGGCTGACAACAGACGATCCCTACCCCAGACACCCTATCATACCGCAATTCGGAACTTCTATATATTCGAACTGCATGCCAGACGACCGCTTGCGAGAACACTGTCACCGATCATCTCGCCGCCATCTAGCGGTCCCCGACCCGAACCAAAGACGTCCGGGGAGATGATACCTTCTCTCTCCCTCCACTAAACGCTTACATATAGGTAGATACCAAGAATTCCGGTAGACCTGGTCACTCAGTTTCAGTAGTTCAAGTAAACGACTTACGATTAATATGAGAATGTCAGGCTCTTTTCCCTATGTTACTTTTTAACCAACTTCGAAAACGAGGAGGTTACTCAATTCGATCAGTATATATTTTTTTTCTTAATTATTAAATAACACCGAATAAAAATAGATTTTGTAATGTAAGCTATAAAATGTTTTCCACCCTGGCGAATAGGGTCCTTGGAATTGAAGACACCCTTCGGGTCGAGCACAAAGTACCCTTTGCCAAGGAAGATTTTCGAGGTTGGCGATTAGGGTGGTCGAAGGAAGGAACAGAAGGATGTTGGTGGCTCGTTTGTCTTAATAAAGTGCGTCGGAGGCACGCTCTTCGTGACGGCTTGACTTATGGCCAGTCATCTGAGTAGGCTGCACCCCTCTTACGACGTGTTTCCAACGGGTTTTTCCCTTGGAACGATGAGAAGGTGGTTCGAACGATATCCAGAAGGGTTCCCCAAGCTTTAAGGTCGTTAACCCAAGCTACCAAGTCCATCAATCGAAGAAGGGTAGCTGGTTAACGATGCCGAACATTCGTCATCGAGTGGATCCTTCTTCGTCCCGCTTCATCCTGCTTCATCCTATCTCCTTCCTTCTTCCTCCTTTCTCTCCCCTTTCAACTCCTTTCGCCTGATACTGAATGGGCTTCTCTTCGTTGGGGTTGAATAACTGTCGAGCTCGGGATATTTATTGTCAATTAGGGAGGCAGTGAAACATTGGTATAAATGAGAGACTGTTTCTGTCGTGGTAGAACTACGGGACGATTGTGGTCGTGTCGAAATAATGAATCGAAAGAGCACGCTGCTCGCATCGTAAAATTTCAGATATCAAGAAGTGAACAAACATCGTTTTCATCTTATTGTTAGTTCTTTGTTAATAGTTGTTTGTTTCTAGGCTCTAGGACTTAAACTCTATAGTTGATATTTAAAGGAATTCATCACAGTACTTAACATCAAGGTTGCAAAGGTTTTGCAGCTTCGATTCACAGTTCAAGTTGCATAATTCATGCATTAACCGTCCATCTTTATTCCGACTGCTTAATACAGAAGTTTCTTTAAAGTTGTTGCGAGGTTCTTTTAAAACGTGCCTTATGTAAATACGCCTTTCTTATTTCTGCTTTATTTCGTGAGTGAATATTCAAGTGTTCTGAATAATAGTTTATTATATGAATTTAGTATTAAATTGTTGTTAAACCTTTTCAAACATTTCGATGACTACTCGAAAAGCAGGATCTAAACTGAGCAGTTATTAAAGATAAAGAGATCCAAATATCAAAAGAACCGAGTAAAACATATTGGTAAGATAATATTAATTCAATAATAAAACTTTTCTTTATTTTTGCTGAATGAAACTTTTACCAATGTAATTGTGAGATTCTTCTAATTAAAATCAGACCAAACAGGATATAATTTAAAGCATATTTTACTTATTTTCTTTCACCTATTTAATACCTAAATATGATCTGAAGTTTTTTCATTTTTTAGAGTAATAAGTAAATATATAATTCTTCAAATTATATCGTGTTTGGTCTTGTTTTAATCAAAAGAACCTTACAATTTCATTGGTAAAAGTTTCATTGAAAAAAAATCAAAAGGTTTTGTTATTGCATTACTATTTTTTCATCGATATTCCAGTTTAAATCAGGTTACACTATTAGCTCTTCCAGTTTCGCAGTTTTTCAAGAGGGTTCCTTCTAGGTCAGTGTTTCCCAACCTTTTTTGTGTCCCATCTAAGCATTTTTTTAATTCTTATTTCCCTATGTAACATATACAATTTCTTAGAGCAATAAATAATATTAATCTAAAAAAAATTAAAACATTAATTTAAACTTTTTTTTAATATTCAAAAATTGAATTGTTCACTGAAGAAACTTAATAGGTTTTAGGAAGAAATTAGTAGGAAATTGTTGAGGATACACGGTAAGTTAATTTCCAAAACATAATGGAGAACTGAAATTAAAGTACGAAATAATTTTAATGAAGGATTTTTCTATATCATTTTAATTATTACTGAGAGTCGCCATTCGGTTAACTAAAACTCTGGACGAGTCCATTTCCCAATTGCCCCCCTGTGGGGCATGGACCCCACGTTGGGAAACACTGCTCTAGGTGATGGGGATGGTTACAGGGTACTTATTCAATGGATCTTTTCCATTTTCCACAATCTTCTTTTGCGGCTTTCAAAAATGGTCAGATGCGATATTTTAGATTCCAATTGTACTCCAGAAAATTGAGACATCCTTAGGTATCCTCTCTGTTGCAACACGTTGCTAATTGGTTTTTGTTCAATCTTTTCCCAGAAACGTCCATGGTGTTGCCGTCAGCCTCGTCAGACTTGGACAAAATCCAGCAACCAGTGAAGGTCGTGCTCTCCAGCACCTGTCACCACGCGTACACTGCCTGCAAGTGAGTGTAAATCTGTTCTCCAACGTGCTCGCTTGCCGCATACTGGTCCATTCTACGACTAGTTTCGTCCATTCTCGTTTCAGAAACGACCCCGAGTGCAGAGTGTTACTGGAACCGGTGCTGAACCACTGCGATCCGAGCAGTTGCTCCAGGAACGAGTGCATGGACTCTTTGCAGAATTTTTACAAGTCTGCTAATCACAAGCACTCCGTGGAAATCGCCTTCTGCCTGTGCAGGTGAGTATCGAAATTCTGAAGCATTCATCGTGATAATTATCTGTTTCATTCGTGGACGCATTTCAACGTCTATAATTATGAAATATTTCAAGCAACCGCGATCTTTCAGTAATCAAGTGCGTAATTAATTAGCAAATAAATTCATCTTCGCACCTACTGCAAATTAATGTTTATTGTTTATGATTTGATCCGTTTAGACAGATCGTTTGCACATATTTTCCTATGATATTGCATCAAAGTTTCTCGTGACCAAATACCCACGCCTGTTTACAGGCATCTTTTTAAACAAATATAACGATTCGCGTGCAAATTCGTGAAATGCCGCGTGTTCTGACAGGTGACAGGCTCGTTCTTTTTTCTTTTTTTTTTTTTTTTTTTTGTTACCTCTGGACATCGATTTCCGAATACACCGGAATATTTTCTGTGGTGGAGCCGCGTCGCAGCGGACCGGTGCGAGCGGAAAACGATTTTCACACGGGCCGCGTGTCGTGGATTTATAGAATTTTTTATCTCGTTATTTCGACGACTATCACTGCTGTCGCTCGAATGAACAAGAAGCAACGTTTTTGAACCAATTTTTTCCTCTTTTTATTTCTCTTTTTTTTCCGTGCAACTCGTCGATTTGGATACGTTTTAGAATTAACGTTATTTGTTTACGTTTAAAGAGCTTTTTATCTTTATTAACAATTTAACCACTGTATTTTTATAACGTAATTAGTAGCCGATAGAATGGAACGTAAATGAAATTATTAATGAAATTATACATTATAAAAGTTGCAAGATTTTCTATAGTTGTAACGTGATAATTATATGCTAAAACGGGGCTAAAATCACAACGGAACAGGCCATGTGAAAATCCAGCTGATTACTTAAGCAGCAGCCACGGACACAGAAATACGTCTCGGAGTGTGTTATTGGACGACTCAATTAAAGCTGCTCGTCTTTGTACGATTCTCGTAATCCTGAGCAAACTCGCTGCAAGAGTGAGAGGGAATGACAAAGGTGGGTCAGGGGAAGCCATTGCGCACAAAGGAGCCGTCCTCGCCGCAGAAATACCTGAACTTCTGCATCTCTAATCCCTTCGCGCCGACCAGGACGGCCAACAGAGGCTTCTTTTCGAAGGAAGCTCCTTTAACTTTTAAGTGGCTTTTGCCCGCGAAACAATGCAGAAACTTTCTATCCATCTTCACTGTACTTCCTCTTTCCTTCCTTCCTTCCTTCCTTCCTTCCTTCCTTCCTTCCCTCCTTCCTTCCTTTCCGTCTTTTCATTTCTCTTTGCCTCGATTCATTGTCCCGAATGCTGTTCCTTTGTCTCCGACGCGTACGTCCAGATATGCTCTTTCTGAATTTATTAATATTAGAGCAGCGTTGCGATTGTGCCCCATGTATTCTTTGAGTCTTTGACAAATTAAGAGGCGCGCGTTCATTTTCCGCTGTTTTAATTTCAACTGCTACGATCCCTACTGTTTTGGCCGTTTAGCGGCTTCGCCACGCTTTTGGCAGAATTGCAGGTACATAAATAATGAAACGAAATCCTTTATTTCGTAAAACGAGGAAGATTGAAAGTATTGTAACGCAGCCAGAATAGAAGCAACAAGAGATTATTAGCCAGGTAAGGGTACTCGCAGAGGGTAAAGGTTTCGAAGGAGGAAGGAGGAAAATAAAGGAGAACCGAATGGCAGAACGAAAAGTCCCGCGGTCGAATAAAATACGTAGCAGGCTCGTTTAATGCTCGTTGAGCAATATCCACCTCGCGGTGGCTGTCTGCTTGGGAATTCCTCCCTTTAAAACACCCTGCAAACCCTCGAGCAGAGCGGATGGAAGTCTCTTACTCTCTCGTGGTAGAATTCAGCACGGCTGCTTCCTCATGCGGTAAATCGTCGCGTCTTCCCTTTGTTTCCGCAATCTGACCACGCTGACGAATCGAATCCCTTATTCGTCTCGAAATACCTTCCTATTAACCGTCCTGTTCTCATAATTGAATAGAAAGATTTATTTTCTATCCCCTTTCGATTCACGACAGTACTAACGATAAATTAGTTGGTTCGAGTGAAATAGTCATTCTAATTGGAAAAAATTAATTGAAGTATACAAAGCAAATTGTACAGGGTGCCCAAAAAGGTCAGGACCGAACTTACACCACGTAAAAAGAAGTACGTGGGGGGAGTTCCCCTAGTATCGTACATTAGCTATATCTAAAAGAACAGAAATGTGACAAAATTGTTTCAACCGTCAAAACAAAGGAGAGGATAAAACAAACATTTGACGGTTGAAACAATTTTGTCACATTTCAGTTCTTTTAGATATAGCTAATGTCCGATACTAGGTGCCGTCCGCTACTAGGGGAACGCCCCCTATAAACTTCCAATGTCCAGAAATGCTTTACTGAAGAGTTATAAGCGTTCAAAGATTTTTATAATAAATGTTCAAAATTTCTTCCTTCTGCAAAAATATATACACGACTAAAAGTCAGACGTCACAACGAGTGATAGGAGTTTTCAAGCTGTAAGTCAACGAGAATTATTTGCGTCTGTCTGTGATTCTGTATAACGAATCTCAACATTTAATCGTCGGAAGACGGAAAATTCCGTTTTTTATAGTCTATGGATATATTTCACTTTTCGATCAGATACATATCTCGATTCTGCAATAAAAGAAGAGCAAAAATAAAAAAGAATCACTTAAATTTAATGTTCATTGAAATTCCTATAAGTATTTGTGTTAAATACCATTAAATTTTTTCTAATTGTAAGTCTATATAGTCACTCGTGTTACGTAAAAGTGTGCGCGCAATCGATCCGCAGATTAAATGTTAAGAAATCCCCTGGAAATTTTTTAACGCTTATAATTCTTCGGTGAAGGATTTTCGGACATGAGTTTATACAAAGTTTTATTACCTACTTGATCGCACTAACGCGTATTATAAGTTTGGTCCTAACCTTCTTGAGCACCCGGTATATATTTCTTAAAAGGTGAATGTTGCTACTATTTCATTCTGACGTACAAGGAATCCCGTCGTTCTAGTTACTTCTAGTCTAACTTGTTGCGTGTTCCAAGGAGTTTAGGAACTTCAAAGGGTGGCGTAAATGTAGTTCAGGTATAAAGTTGCCTAACTAGAAAACTCCTAGATCCTTAACTAGAAAACTCGTAGAACAAGTGTTAGAGAAAGAAAATTCATATAATTTCATGATGAACTTACTTGAATTGAAGTTGATGCGAGGGATATGATTTTGCAGGAAGACGGATAACAGGAAGGACGAGTGCATAGTGGCGCAGGAGAAGATGCACCCTGCGTGCGCCCAACGTGTCGAGGGTGCAGAGATGCCTCCCTGCCATAGCCTGGCTGAGGCATGCAAGGAAAACAGAAGTTGCAGGTACATCAGAAATTAGTATCATTTACCTACATTATGACAGTCAGGTCCTCAAAAAAAATGATCCCGAAGCTGGAAATTCAAAAAATTATGAAACTTTGTGAACATGTAAGGCATATCTTCCTGATTAAAACGCAATTTTCGTTTGCTGTCGGTTTTCAATCTAAGGGGATGGAAATCGCCATTAAAATCGTGGCTGTTCTACGATTTTGTGGTAACGTAGTTTAGGTCTTAGCGTTTATATTTCTAAAGGCAGGAAGAGAGTTGTAAAAGAGAAAGGCGATGACGAAAACTAGGCCCAAGGGTCGGTGAGTGTTTTTCCGGGCGAGACCTAGGGCCCTAGCGAAGGGTGCGGGTATATGAAAAGCGAGGAATGCGAGTGCTTTTGCGGGGTGGGACAGACTTGAGCTGGCTTTCGAGGAGAGAAGTACGTTTAGTTTGCGAGCTACCTTATCAATTTTGTATTTTATTCAATACCATCTTTATTTTCTAATCTAATAAACAAAAATCATTCATTATACCACAATTTTTATTTTTATTTTCACCGAAACTGTTGGAGATATCAAAAAACTTCATAAACATAGTATCTTTTTATGTTAAAACAAGAAATTATTGAAACAATTACACAAAGTTATAAATAAATATGTTTAAAAACAATAACTTTTCTCAACATCAAAAAATACTATACATAAAGACGAACAACTTTTGCTTATAATGATTTTCGATATCTTTAACAGTCTCGGCGAAAAAGAGAAGAAAACGTAGAACGACCAAAATTTTAAGGGTGATTTCCACCCCCTTAGACTGAAAATGGACAGCAAATGAAAATTGCGTTTTAATCGGGAGGACATGCCCTACATATTCACAAAGTTTCATAATTTTTTGAATTTCCAGGTTCGGAGTCATTCCTTGTCAGTTGTCCAGAGAAGGATTAATTCTCAACTTTCTTTGCTCTAAACTTCCCCGTTTTACCGCATACTGTTCTATTAAATGGCGCGAAGAAAAATAGGAGAAACGAAGCTAGTTGAGATTAATTGAGGTCGTATTAAGATCGCAAAAATTAATCGACGGTGGAGGTAACAATGAAGCTGGCGTTTCGAGGCGAACGTTATCAGAAGTAACGTCGAGATTGTATCGCGGGTCCGGATAAACCGGACCTTTGATTAAACGCCACGAATCCTTTCTTTTTTTTTTTTTATTCTGGTGGCCCACTGGACTGGGCTGGAGGATGGGGCTGCTCGTTTCAATTTGAAAGTTAAATTGCGAGTCAACGAGACGTGGCTTGATCCAGTCTCGCCGCGTAATGAAACACTTTATTACTAAGAAAAAGACGTCCGTTCCTTTTAGAATGAAATTACGGGAACGTTTTTAACAACGGATGTCACGTGGACCGAGGATGAACCGTGATAGACTTTGAAAAGGAAAAAAAGAAAGGATTGAATCTATTTATCGACGAGTCCGATTCACGGCGAGGAGAGACTAATTAAAATTGACCCGTCGATTAATTCGATTTGAAATTGAAAAGGAATCGCGACGTGTCCAGGCCGATTGGATACTCCACGATCTACGCATTTATTGAAACGAAAATATTCGAGGTATCGATTTAATGATATCGATTCGCCGATGCGACACAACCGACGCGATCCAACGACGATTAAATTACAAATACGCGTTCGATGGAGGCATTTTAATTGATTTATTATAGCCAGGCGAAAACGAATTCATTTTTAATCCCATTGAAATTCGTGGAATATTTTTGAGATCGTCGGTAATTGTTATTTCTTTTTTTTTCTTTTTAATTGAAAGTATCATTTGTCTGTAATTTTTCACTGTTAATTTTCAATGTTATTATCCTTTGAATTTTAAACCCTGGGGAAAAATTGTGAACAGTTTTAATAAAAAGGATGATAGGGTAGTATTGCGTTTATCGACAAGCTTTTCCCATTCGATTATATGACTTTTTATTGCTTCATATTGAGAGTTATTATGATCGTTTAATAACAAACGAAGAATAGCTTATCGTTGTATATGAACAGTTAATACGCAGGAGATGCGTTGAGGATATTTATGAAGAAAACAAATTGAAGTTTCAATATATAAGGTAATCTTCCACTTGTAATTGAGGGAGATAGGAATTATCATAATCATATGTAGATTATCTATATTTAAAAAGCAATTTTGATGTATAATGATTGCATCTCTAGTAGCTGCTTCAACGAGTGTTTGTTGTTTCGAACAGAATGAAGTTGGAATATTACGAACAAAGTTGTGCGGTGGATAGTGTAACGAAAAAGTGCGCTGGACCAACAGCTGAATGCAGAAAAGCGATGCTGGGAATTCTTGGGACGAAACTAAGATCGAGCTGCGCCTGCAAGAGCACCGAACTTACCCAACTTTACGATTGTATCGGCTGGCAGAGGCTTTTATGGGTGAATCCTTGCGTGGGTAAGAGTGACAACTATTTCATTTCATTTATTTTCATTTGACTCAAAGAACGATCTGAAAATTTTCAACTGAAATCACTACCATTCATCATAAATATGATTTCCATTCAGCGTCATTTCACCTGAACACCAATCAATCGATCCTTTCGAAAGTTTCAACACCATTCGTCTACCCATTGTCGATAAAATCATCGGACAGGATTAAATATTTGTCGAAAGAACAATCAAATGTTTGGGACAATACAGTGTGCCAGTCCATGGTGATTAATATCTGACACGATTAATATCTCGACGATGACAAAGCTGATTCCTTTCCACGTTCCCTTCTTATTTTCCTCACTTTCTGCTTCGCGTTCGATTAGTTGACAAATTCGTCCTGCTTGAAATTCTAAAGATAGAATTACAAAGAACATCGCTGAACGTGTAATAATTTTTAACCCGTTCGTTTCACGTGGAGCTTTTATAATTCGACGAGACAATTCGTTGGGAATTACGTAAAATGGTAGTTTATCCGTGTAGCCAGTTGCTGGGGGTAACATAAAAGCGTTCATCTGCAGCGATCGTTGGACGATCTGTGCGCTTCGTTATGAGCAGAAGTGCAATTACGTGGTGGTCGAAAGAACGAAGGAACGAAAGAACGAACGACACGACACGAGGCTTTTATCGATCTTACATCTGTTCCACGAGTCGAGTTGCAAAGCTCGACTGTAGACGGCATTCAACCGACAGATAAGTCATTTAGATACGAAGAAATTGCACTTGCTGCTCGCTCGAGAGGGTGCATCTAGGTATTCGCGTTAACCACATCGATCGGCTCGTCTCGATCGTTTTTCCTCGATACTCGATAGGAATGTAGGTCGAACGAAACCCTTTCGTGTCCTCCTTTTGCTGTATCGATAAATGCGATAGATAGAAATTATCCTGGACCTCCTTCTTTCCAGCGAATTTATTTACTAGTCGTTTCGTCGATGTTCGAAACATGTATACAGCGAGGATTTTCTGAGCTGTGTTTCCGAAAGGCCCCACCAAAATTGAGAACTCAGGTTCGGTATATAACCTAAATTGACTACAAGAAACCGATTAAAGTTGGTTTCAGAGCTGAATGTCTTACCATTTTCAAGATATCGTGGTAAGGTTAGGTTATATTAGGTTAGGTTCTGTGTATGCGCAGTATCGAATAGCGCATGCGCAGTATTGAATAGCGCATGCGCAGTATTGAAAGCGCATACGTAGTCCAAAAATTGTACAAAAATTTCTTACCACGATATCCCAAAAACGGTAAGACATCCAGCTCTGAAACCAATTTTAATCGGTTTCTGGTAGTCAATTTAGGTTATATACCGAACCTGAGTTCCCAATTTTGGTGGAGCCATTCGGAAACTTATCCATTTTCTGTCGCTTGGTAATGCCAAGTCAGATCATTTTGATGCAAACGAATGAAACAGCAAATTCCCAAGGATAGCGGAGGATTTCCAGCATTTACAGATAGGATGTAAACGGTCGCTGTCGATTGTTCCAGTCGAGTCCCAGAAGGATTATCACGCTCGTAGGATACACCATCATTATCCGAGGACCACAACGACGACCATCTCGTCGACGACCAAGTCGCCAGTTAGCACGACGACGGTCATCGTGGTCGAACAAGTGGAAGATAATCAAATACCGGAAGTGACGAGGTGGCCGACCACCGAACCCACGGAAACTTGGGAAATCACTACCACGAGCAGCACCACCATAAGTACCACTCCAAGTACCACTACAACTACCACCACCCCGCCTCGTGAGTGCTTTCATTTTCATCTTTTGTCATTCCCGGATATTCTAATACGAAGAAATGTAAATAAAATGAACCCCTCAGGGGAGGTGTCGATTCTCGTTTGCATTTTCTTATTGCAAGTTTCACTGCTTTATAGTCTTTAACACTAGAACTACCATACCGTCAAAATGACGGATCTTTGATTTTTTGTTTCAAAATACAGAAATTATTTGAATGTTTTTGTTGAAATGTATGTTGATTTTTATCGTGATTAAGAATAATTTTACATGCTAGTTTATGTTTCATCCTTTACTTATATTTCTACTTTATTTTCAATGTGTTCTAGTGTTAATCACAGGGTGATTAGTGATTAGTGACAGGGTTAGTCAAATAAAGAGTTACAAACTATTATCTCGGAAACTATACCAGGTATTGACCTAATTTCTTTTTTTTTAAATTAAATGGTACGAAATGATTGTGTGGTATACACACAATTTTTCTAAAGAATAAACCTACTTTGTCTTTTTTAAATGGAATCCTATACTAATTTCTTTTTATTTAAATAGCTTTCGAATCATTTTTTGATATTCCTAATTAACAATTTATGGCAAAGGAAATATTGAAGGAACGAATACACGGAGGCCTCGAAGGAGAATTAAAACAGGAGTATTTTGTCTCAAAATTCATTTTATTATCCCCTTCACCTATGATTTTTTCGATAGTTGCGTCAGTCAGAGCTAACTATTTATTTCTTGAATTTTAAAACAGATAAAGAGAAATGAAATATCATGCATACATAGCATTCAACGATCCTTGACTGAGCAAATTAGAATTAGAATTAAACTCAAAATTTAACTATACTAAAAGTATATTAAAATCAAATTTAACACAATGGAACTGTAAATTGCGTCACCAGTGTGACGCGATGTTGTAGGGCAACGAGTTAAATATTAAACCATGTATTTATTCGTTTCATAATGTTATGACATATCTACATCAGACAGTATTGTTGCATTTACCAACTGACAAGCATTTTGTATTCGAGTTTTCATATCTTTTGTAGTAAGTGAAGTTTCCATTACTTTATGCTTCAAATACCTTTACAAGAAAAAGTCGAATGCAAAATGCTTGTAAGTCGATATCTGCAATAATGTCCGATACACAATATTATAAAAGTGATAATATTAAGAAAAGAAGAAACAAATGGTCGTCATTTTCAATATTTACTAAAATGAATTTTAAGACAAAATACGTCTGTTTTAATATTTCTTGGACGCCTTCGCGTATTCGCTCCTTGAATATTCTCTTCACCATAAATCGTTAACTATGAAGGATATAAAAAAAATGGTAATAACATTCGAGTAAATGTTATTATTAAATAAAAAAGATTGGTGTATCATCGTATTTCAAAAAGACAACGTATGTTTATTCTGATCTTATGATAGCCATTTTAGAAACATTTTTTATGCACCACACAATCAGACACTTTGTACCATTTAATTAAAACAAAAAAACTTGGGTCGATAGCTGCTATAATTCTTGAGATAATCATTTCTAACACTTTATCACGTTGAATGCCATGGGGGTCACCAGTGACCGGCCCCGCAACTTACACACACCTGAATAATTAAAAGAAAACAATAGAAAAACCTTACTTTATGTAATATTGCTATGGTACAAATAATGTGAAATGGGAAATAGAAAGCTTGAAATTTGAAAATTAATTATTACTATTCTTAGGAATACAATTAGTATAGTATTAAGACAAATGTATAATGATACTATCGAATTTGTTAGTAATTTTAGAGGTTTAATACGTCCCACAAAAAATGCCCCATTTCACTGTGGCGTTCAACGTGTCATCCTACTCATTCTGTATGTAAAAAATACCGAAAGAGAAACATCAATGCGCATACGCGATGACGTGGTATTTCTCGAATGAGAAATGCAACTCCTTTGATCGTTCGAGTCGTACGGAAAATTCTGTATCGAAACATATACAGAGAGAGGAGGAATTTTCGTTTCTTCGCCGCGAGAACCTATGCATCGAACGTTACAAAGCAAGGTGGCCAAGAGACGGCGTTGAAAACTGGCTAAAAAGAAAGATTCGAAAGAAAGAAGAGGGGTAGAGGAGGAAAAGAGGAGACAGGAGGAAAACAGTTTTCCAGGAAAGGCGCAGCAGTAACCGTCTGAACGTTCGTCTCTTTATAGGCTTCTGCGTGGTTCAAAGGCCGAGGCAAAGTCACCAATACATAAGGGAGGGCAAAGGCAAGAGGGTGAGTTCGACAATCTGCAAAGTATTTTCGCGGCCGACCGGGCGAAAAGCGTTCTCGAGCAATCGAGCAGATCGAAGGAGCACGGGCAAGGATTGAGAAACGTTCGTGAACGGAACGAAAGTCTGGAAAGATTCGAGCTACGAGGAAAAATCGTGCGATTAGAGAAATAGTATCGGACCATTTCAAATGGAATTCAAATTTTCAATCTTTTTAGCATTTCAATTTGAACCAGTCTCGTGTCTCGTATCTTTTGAAATACCTGCGATCGTTCAACTGGTTATGATTATAAAAACACAGCTGGTAATAAAGTTTGTTACCAACGAGCATACATTTATTTTTTTCAGTCGAGCATTATTTCGCGTCGGCTGTGCATCGACATTTTGTACGACGATGTAACGTAAATAATGAACGAGCCAGGGATTCAAACTTTAATTCTCTTGGAACGTTCCACGGGAAAGCTTTTAATTAACGTGAAAATAAAGAAACAGCAGTGAAAATAATAAACGTTGAACGGCCTTTTACCGGACGGGAATGGGTAAATCGTGAAACCGTAGATCGTATGAATTGCTAACGAAAAAGCACAGTCAACCAGATGGTTTATGAACGTCCATACGATACGTATGTATGCTTTTCCTTCTTTTTTTTTTCATTAGACTCGTTATCTTTTTGGATCGATGTTTGTGAATTAACGATAACGTCGGATTGGAGATGAAAAGTTTAATTCGATAGATCGCTATTAACTTTGTCGAGCATATTCACTGAATGTATTTTCAACCTGGCTCATTTATTTTTCAATCGTTATATCGTAGCTGCATCCTGATTGTAACATTTCCAATTTCAAATGAATACGGTAGAAAACATCTTTCGAGACTTTTACATATTCTAAATGCTACAATTCTCTTTAACACGTTCGCACGTTACTCGGTAAACGTGTTAATCACTTGTAGGAAAATTATTTGCCATCAGAGAGAGAAAATATAAAGAGCTGTTTGAGCTGTCGAAATTTGTAAGGTGTATGCTTTTCAGCTGTATCGCGAGGACGAACCTGAATGCTCGGAGCTGTGCCAGTGTGGCGAGGGTGAGGTTTTGATCTGCAACACGATCTGTGTGGATTCGTCGCCGTGCAAGACGGACTTCGCCTTCTATAATCACGAGGCACCAGCGTATCAGGCGCATCGGGGACCCTGCCTTTGCTATAGCGGTCGTTTCATATGCATGCGGCCTTCGCCCGGTGAATATACACACATACACCCTCTACAAGCGTTAGATTCCACGCTGAAACCATGAATGGAGCTCGATCGAGGCGATAATTCGCGAGGATAGAAGCGATATTTTTTCATCCAATTAAGCAAATTTAATTTTAAAAAATTACTCTTAGCAAATTTTAAAATAATTTTCAACTCGAGTTGCGCGGGATTGAATCTTTGTTTGATTGAAAATAAGCAGCCGCGGGGTATTTATTTAATTCCAGTATCGAGATATTTCAACAAATTCAAAGGATAACATTTAATAACGATGTTTTTTGTTGATCCGAACATACAGATGCTTACTCAATACCGCACGGAGTGTTCATGTTCCTCGGCTACAGCGAAAAGGACGAGAGCTTATTGAGACAGCACAATAATCTCACGGTCCTGGACGCGGTGTCGTCTCTCGATAGTTTCATGAGGGAAGAAGTTAACAATCAGGTAAGCAACAGTTTCCTATGAATACGTTGTACGAGTCGCATTTTCTTGAGCCTGGGTATACGAATAGAAAAATCTCAAGGGACAACATAAATCGTATAGGACATATCAAGCGATACACGACATAGAAGAAAAGTTAATAATGCAAGATAGCGTTGGATGACGTCGAGATATATCAGTTCCTTTTCCCTTTTATTTGCAGACGGTCTGCACCCTGTTCCTGTACAACGCGACCCGAGAAAACGTGATTGCAGTGGCGCGTCTCGGGACTGACAATCCACCCCTAAATAGCAGCCAAGCTCAAAGTCTGCAGCACCTTCTGCGCGTCAAGGTGAGTAAATTGCAAATAGCAACGGCCCTCTTGCCTCCCTGAATTCGCATCAATTCTGATCTTATTTTCCGGCCGACTGGCCCCTCTCGTCGCGTCGCCCAGCTTCCTCTAACTTTATCGCTCCCCGCTTTTTCTTCCTCATCCGCTTCTCTATTTAGACACTTCGTCCCGTGTTTCTAGCATAACGTTATTAAATTACTCGGCAACCCTTCTTTCCGACGAAACAACTTTATCCGGCAGCATCGAACGAGATGTTAAAGATGTCAATACGAATGGTAAACGAGGGAAAATATTTGAAAAAAACTTTTTATTGCTTTGCAATTATTTTCATTCATTTCTCTATCCTTTGAAAATTTCAATATCCAATGTTAATTAAAGCACCATCGTACAGAGAAGTGAGTTACCCATTTTATTTTTCGAGGTAAAGAGTCTCGGAATAGTCGTAAATAAAATGGTCGAACAGAAATTTGGTGGGTTTCTTGCGAAATATGCTGTATAATTATGAATATTATTGACAACAAATCTTTTTTTCACTTTTTCTAATTGATGACAAATTCGGGGTAACAGAAATTCGGGTAGTAATATAAGACAGTGTTACTTTTGAGACAAATAAAATTATACTAACAATGATAAATGAAACATAACAGAACGTCAAATATAATAAAACAACCACAATTAAATGAAGCATTTATTTTATTTTGCCCATAAGTGGCATGATAGGCATTAAAAATCATTAGAAAATCTTTTATCGCAAAATATGTACATTTTGTGTGTTCAGATGTTTATTTTATTATTTAGTAATAAATTTGAAAATGTGATAGTAGTATGAAACTGTCTCATATTATTATTATTTATCATAATAAAATACAAATACTTCAAATATCCTTTGATATACTAATACTATGATTATTATACCATAATTTACTTGTTTTGTTTTTCTAAAACTCGCAAATAAATTTTACTTTAAAAAGCACGCGTATAAACTTACTATTACAGCCAATAGTTAAAACGTTTAATTAAAAAAAATGATATCTATCCAGAATGGTTGTTATGGAACAGTACTTTATTCGTCGTAATACTGGATGTATTATACAATCATTATCTCATATTTCTACCCTGTTTCATATTCGTACTTTTTCCTCGACATTTTGTAGCTCTGGGTCACGATTGACCCTGCTTTCTATCGTTCGTGGGTTACATAACGATATAACAAGTCCCTTCGATTCACGATTCATTTAGTTTCTAAGCTGGAGCTCGCTTAATCGGTAATAAACGTTATCAAGCCCGGTTGTTGGAGGAAGGTTAACAAGCCGGCCAGGCAATTCGAAGCTCGTTCGACGTTGATCTCGAACGTTTTTATCGTAATTTAATTTCTCAGGGGCGGAGATCCAAGATTAACCTCCGCTCTTGACAAGAAACGAAAAACAGCTGGTCGGTATAAAAAAGAGAAGAGGGATGGAAGGATGTCGCGTGCTCAGCACCGATTCGATTTCGCGTCGAAAGGACTGCGTGTTCGCGCGGCTAGGTGCGTGCTGGTCACCGGAAGTGCGTGCAGCATATCCGCGAAACGATATCAAAACTTTACAGAACTTTTCGTTTCTCTATCGGTCTCTCTTATATCTTCTTTCAAGCCGTGATTTTTCTTCTCTTTCTTACCGATTTCTCGAAGGGGAAACGAACCAGACGCGTCAGCTCTTCTCCCCTCGCGATTATCGCGATTAATTAACCGGTACGCCATCTTTAATTTCCCCGAAATTTATCCAACCCCTCGTGTCAGATTTCGCGGCTCGCTGATTTTCAGGCTGGCGAAAAAAAATTGAGAATGGCAAGGGACACGACAATTTTATGCGTTAGTAATGGTGATTGACTGTAACTGATAAAACACTTGCATCAGTTTTACCAGATACTGAAATGAACAATAAAAAAATTAGTAGATTAATGAAATTTTTAAAAATTAACAAAAATTCAATCGTAACAATGAAATGAATTTTCCTTTTGTACATATTTTATTTTGGATCAGCTGCTATTAGTAACTTCAATTGTCCTCGAACAACGCTTGTTTTTCAATCGTTTTCATAATTACACGTCACTTTCAGCTCAACAAAGAGTGACAACCACGCGATGTCCATTGTTTTCCGCTTTATAAAAAACTATCACGGTTTCGAAGGCTTTCGTGCCCATTTCCAAACATTCGAACGTGATTCAGATTCAATCAAGACATAATCGGTACGAAGAATTTCCAAACAATCAGCAATTTATCGAGCTTTCAAAAATTATTCTAGTTGTATTTCAAAACGGGTACACATGGATCATCACAATTCTAAAACGTCAGCGAAGATAAATTGTTTAGCGAACAAAAATTGGTTGGCGAATACGGATCATAAATAAACTAGTTGTCGACTCGAATAACGACGTTGCAAATAAAGGGCTAGTGGTCGATAAAAGAAAATATATGTATGAAAAGTTGATAAACGAGCCAGATACGTTGGAACGCGAGAAAAAAATTTCCTGGTGAACGTTAAACGACTGCAAGCACGAAAATCCCTCCTAATTCGTATTCGTACGAGAAACGAAAAGGATTTGCGCGATGGTGCAGTCGGTATTTTGAGTAAAAGCCGATTGAAATGATGTGCAATTACGTGAGATTTTCGTGAAACTTGTTCGCAGGGAAATGGTTACATTAATGAGATGAAGTATGTACTAAACTACAAGCATTGGCTTTTATAATTATTTGCAAACGATTCTTCAAATGAGAGTTTTAATGTTTTATTTTCTTAAGTAAACGCTTGAATGGCACGCACTGAAACATAGTGTTGGATAAAAACGAAATTCAGTATGTAGCTAGATTTTCATGAAAAACTAGCTAACCCGACAAACGTTGTCCTGTCCAAATTTCAATAAATTTGTTTGTGATCGTTTTGTGAATTTGTGAAAAACAAAGTAAAAGTGAGAAAAGAACGTATTTCTAAGTGATTGTGTCCCATAGAAAAAAGCACTTCCATTTTTTCCCAAATTTTCCATTTTTCTGGGCAACTTTTCCAATTTTTCTTTCCCTGAAAACCTTACTCGGACTATTACGAACATTAAAAAAAAAATTATCCAAATCGGTCCAGCCGTTGTCAAACGATGCGCTTACCAACGAACAGCATTTAATTTTTATTTATATAGATTTTTGCATGTGTACAAGAGGGTAATCGCGTCCTCGTAGAATTATTATTTATCGAGGATAGGAAGGGTTGCGCGAGAGGGATCGTTGAACGATTCACGTTAAACCGCGGCATGCAAATTACGTTTTCACACGGTGCTCGCTGATCCGCGACCGTTTCCATTCGCGGCCATCACTTGAACCGCAAAATTCTCCCTATCTTCGCGGCCGGATCGATCCTGAAATGTTGTTTCCCGTTCGTGGCAACGTTTTAACAGGTTCGCTGAAAAATCGACAACCGGTACAAGAGTGAGAAAACAAAGGGGGCCAATAGATGGGTACAGCGAACGAGAGGGGGCAGAGCGTGCCAATTCGAATCCGCGATCCCTCCATCAAATTGCAAATCGGTCGTCGCTTAATCGCAAATTGGAAATCGCCTCGGGAACTCCTACCGAACGATGCGAAATGTTCGCCGCTCGTGTTCGTAAAGAGCTTAGCTCAGGCTACGATGGCGAATTTTTTTTACCGACAACCAAAAAGGACGAAAAAAAGTCTTTGACCTTAGATTTCGGGATTTTAATTAACCTCCGAGCTAAACGATATTTAGATGGCGAGAAAATTGGTGAGAGGAGAAATACCGAGTAACAGAAAATGGAAGGGTGGGGGTAATTGTTGATCGGGTTAATTAGCAACCGCTAGGGGCGCGAATACGAATGTCCGAAGCAGGGGTGAAAATGGAAATTTGCGAACGTGTGCGCGTGCAAAGATTAAACAATGACCGAAGCTGCAGCCGAAAGTCTTCTCAATTTCCGCGAACTGACCGGTAGTTGGGTTCGCTTTCTGCACGCGCGAGAACCGGAAATTGAAGGAGCGAATTTTGGCCACATTCTTGGTTCGATTCTCGCGGCGAGTGTGTAGGGTTGGGAATAGAGAAAGCGTCAGGGTCGCTTTCTTTTTCTGACTCTCTTCTGGCTCTCTTCTGGTTCGTAATTGAACGAGCGATCGGTCGCGGATCGCAAAGGGACCGAAACGAATTTCAATTGAATTCGCGATATATCGGCTTCAATGATCCGTTTTAATCAAATAGCTTCCACCAGATATCACGTTATTGTTCGACTCGCGAGTTGAAACGCAGGTTACGCATTTCAACGGTATGCGTGCGTGTTTCTGTACGTACAGATATATATATATATGTGTGTGTGTGTGTAGGGGGGAGTACTTTTTTACGAGCCACGGAAATGGTCGAACGAGCTTCTACGCGACCCGATCGAAACCCGTTCAAAGTGATTTTTTTTTTTTTTTTTTTTTTTTTTTAATTCTATCGAACCCCCCGGGAAATCGAAAGTTTAATTGTTCCGGCCAACGAAAAAGAATGTTTTTTTCGTTGAAACAAACATGGCGCGGTTGTCGGAAATAGAAGTGGAAGATAATTAACATATTATTCGAATTCTTTAATTAAGGCTAGTAGAGAATGGCAGGGTGCCAAGTACGTGCGATTAAGAAAAAAGTAACGGCGCAACGGATATCGCTGCAGGCGATTTTTAATGTTTTTCCTAAGCGGCTTGATACGTGCCGCGAATTCTGCTGCTCCGTTTCCGGCGCGGCTGCGGCGGAACGAAATTGTTCGAGGGGCGTAAAAACTGGCAGACGCACCAATCACTAGGCGACCTAGAACGGCTACGTCCGGAAACTTTTTACCATCTACGATGGCCAGTTTCCAACTTTTTACACGGTCATGGACCAACTCGCTCGATGAGATTTTCTTCGAAGAAAATTTCCCGCCGATTTTCCCAGGGCCCGAACGTTTTCACCACGTAAGATAACTGACCACCTCTTCAACGCAAGATAAGATGTT